AAAGAACACAGGACATTTTAATATGGTAAATATTAATATTAAATGTTAATATTCATATTAATATACTGAAGCATCTTGTTGGTCCTTAATATTTTACAATTTTAAAATGAAATTATTTTTTCTGCTGGGAGCAAATGCAGGGCATTGTAGTAATTCTAGTGAGTGATGTCTTTTGTATTAGTTTTCTCATTGCTATGACAACGTACCTGACAAAAGTACCTTATAGAAGGAATAGTTTATTTTGGCTCATAGTTTGAAGGCATCAGACATCATAGCAGGGAAGGTGTGGTAGCAAGAGCATAAGACCGCTGCTCACTCTGTGTCTATACTCAGGGGTCAGGGAGAGATGAATGATGGTTTCAGATCACTTTCTCCTTATTTACTATTGGGCGCTCAGCCCATGGAATGGTGCCTCCTTCTGTTAGGGTGAGTTTTTCTACCTCAATTAATACACTCTAGAAGCTCCTTCATAAAAATCATGAAAGGTTGTCTCCTAAGTGATTCTAGATCATGTCAAATTGACAGATAGTATTAACGATCACCCCCAGCACTTGAAAAAAGAAAATTATTATTATTATTATTATTATTATTATTATTATTATTTGGTTTTTGCTGTTGTTGTTACGCTAGTTCTTATTGTTTAGAAAAAAAGTCTCATTATGTAGCCCAGGCCAGCCTCAAACACATGATTCACCTGTCTCAACTTCTCAAGTGCTGGGATTACAGTATAAACCACTATGCTCAGTAGGGCTCGGAATGGTGGCAGGAACATGTAGCATTTGGGAGGCAGAGGCAGGAGGACTGTTTGAGACTAGCTCAGTTTATAGAGTGAGACTGTGTTTAATTAATTTATTTTTGGGAAAAGAGGTATTTTTACCCTTGCTTCCCATCTACAAATTAAAAACAAAGCTTACACTTTCCAGTTTGTGCCCACAGAACTTCTTCCAGATTTTATTTATAAATACTCAAAAACACAAAACATAAGTGAAAAATTGGAAAGGGTAATGTTTTAGTATGTAACACTGTCAGAGCAGAATGCTCCTGCTTGGGCTACTTGACACAAATTTATTTTGTCATAGTTCTGTAAATTAGAAACCCAAAATTAAGGTTCCAGCAGGATTGCTTTCTCCTGAGACTGCTCTCCATAGCTTGCAAATGGCCGTCTTTTCACTGTGACTACAATGGAGGCATGAGCACTGAGTGCCCTATGATCTTCCTCTCCTGAACCGTCAATCCTACTGAACTAGGGTTCTGCCTTTGTTAACTCCTTTAACCTGAGTTCCTCTGTAAAGGCCCTAACTCTAAATCCAGTCATACTACTGTTAGTAGTTCTTTATATTAACTTGGGAAGGACATAATGTAGTCTCTAACAGGAAGGCATCAAAACTTGATGCTGGCACACAACAACAGTGAATAAATGAATGAATATTGACAGTGTCTATGGGGAGTCTTTTGTCTACCTCTTCACAACACAAGAAAGCTCTCTTTCTATCAGTTTCTAACAGTTTGTTCTTAAAGGGGTGGGTAAATTATACTATAAATAAATTTAAGTCATATTCATTACTGTTATGACTTGATGTGAACAATTTTATTTTTATTTCTTACCAATTTTGTGATTTTATATTTTGATGATATTCTTTTATATTATAGTACTGTATAAAATAATAAAATCATTGTCCAGGTAATTCAATTTAAGTAGACAATAGCCAACACTGAAATGATTGATGTCAAACACAATGATCTTGACAAACACATTCTTCCTTAAATAATTACCACCAAGATTTTTGTAAGAACAGTTAAGTAGAGCTAGGAATGGTGATCCAAAACATGTAATTCTAGCATATTGGAGGTTGGGGCAGGAGGATTGCAAGGTTGAGATTAGCCTAGTTTATATAGTGAAATTGTGCTTAAAAACCAAAACAATAAACAGCCAAAACAAAAAACTGAAATAGAAGTAGCAAAAATGTGCTCATTCAGAAAATAAATGTATAGTTTCAGTTAAGAATTCTTTTTTAAAAAATTTTATTTATTATTTTTGTTTTACGTGTATGTGTGTATTACCTGCATGTAGGTAAGTGCACCCGTGTCATGCAATGCCCAGTCAGAAGAGACTGTTGGATCCCCTGGGACTGGAGTTATGGACAGTTGTTAGCTGCCATGTGGGTGCTAGGATTCAAACTTGGGTCATCTGCAAAAACAACCAGTGTTCTTAACCACTGAGCAATCTCTTCAGCCCCTCAGTTAAGAATTCTAAAAGATGGGTTTACAATTATATGCAGGATACAGGACTTCAGACCAAATCATGTGGATTCAATTCTCTCTTCTGCATTTCTCTCTTACTTTTTATAGTTGTCATTTTCGTTGTCAATAGCTTTTGCTCTGATGCATTTTCTTCATATCTTACTGTCTTCTTCCTTCTCAAACATTCTGATTTGTCTCTGTTTGGGGGCTAGATTTCTCCTGGCTAGTTATTGTATCCAGGGATGGTTCCACTCATTTCCTAACAGGTTCAGTAAATACCAAGTAATTTGAGACACAGAATTTCCCTTTAAGAATCTTAGTACAAGGATACAGGTCTCTGGACAACATTACTGTGTGGCTTGTAGCCTTTGGAACCATTCTTGTTGATTGCTCATTGGGCAGCAGCTGTACCACTCTATTCTTTCACAGTGTAAAGGAGTTATAACCAAGTAACCATGATGTGTTCTAGTTGTCACTGGTCTAGAAGCTGCTCACAGGCTTGTGGGGATAAC